TTGGAGTGTCGCACATAGAAGCGTAATGGACGGACCTAGTGTTGTGCAGGGCCGGGCTTGGCCTGAAAGCCCTGGCTTTGGCCTGGCTTTTGAGGGCTCGGGCTTTGCAAAACCCTAGGCCAGGCCCTGACATAGGGCCAGGGCTTGGCTTGGGCTTGGCTTGGGCCTAGGCCAGGGCTTTCACTATAAAATCATGTATTTTGCTTCCTTTGTGCATAAAAAATTAGAGTGGTCCATTTTCAACTCAATGAAGCTATCAGGATAAATCAGACAGTAAAAAACAGTGAAGACATTGACTTTTGATTGTGTCACAATAATCACTGTAGTAAAAGACACTTATTCATCCAAGTCTCAATGGTTCTCATTGTCTGAAATACCTAAAATTAAGTCTCCAAGCTCATCATCATGCTTCTCAACAGTCATTTCATCAATAACATTGCCCTCAGTCATCTCAAAGGATAACTCAGTTGCTGAGGATGGCCCTAGCTCATGGAAAACTAATTCCTGGCAGCAGAGTGTTCCCAACACCTGAATAGCTTCAACAACATCTCCACCAATGTGATTGCACCTTTTTGTGATTATTTCAGCAGCTGCATGAAAAAGCACACTCATTGGACACTGAAGAGGCCATAATGGACAGGTAGCTTCACCCATGCATCTCCGGTCAAACTCTGATCCATGTTTGCTCCTTTGGTATTACTTTGGTATCTTCGGCAGCTACTTTGTAGCTGCCAACACACTCGGGAATTATCAGTCAGCATGTTCTCTTGTGACCAACTCACTCCACATTTTACCTGTCATTACTTTATGCCTGTCATTATTCCGCAGTTACGCCTGTCATGTTTTGTATTCTTACAACCTTCAGTCTTCTTCAGTGATTGCTCATGATACTCCACACTTACGCCCGTAGATATCTGGAGCTTATCCGAAGATCCGGACTTACAATATAAATAGTGGTAGCACTCGACTTGTATTTAATAGTATGAATATTGATTTACTCCTGCCCCAACATTACTGTGGCCTTTGACATTTTTTCGTGCTTGTCATCTCTATTCCAATCATACTCCAAGTCGACTTGACATTGACTTGTCATCTCCATTGTACTCCGCCGTACCTAGCATCTTCTCCTTGCTTCTACACGCAACTCCTCTACCTTCGCTATCTCTGGTTCACATCTGGTCCTTCTCCACACTTCTTCATATCTTTGCTAGCATCTTCGGGACATGGCGTCCCTATTGGAGCATGGCTCAAACATCCTGGTTCTCCCTGGGCAGACACGGTGTTGACATGATCCCCAAATAAGGTACAAAGGAGAATTCAACTGTAGCACTGATTAGAACCATAAAATGTGATACAACAAGATAACTTACACCCCACCAATGGACAATAGATATCTCTTCTAGAAGAGGCATCTCAGAGCCAAGATAAGCATGAAATCCTTGAGCCTGAGGTGCTGAGGTGTTTTCAGCTTCATTGTTTGCACCATAACTGTCTTTGGGACATTAGTAACCTGCTGGGTCAAAATCACCTTATTTACTGACATAACTCTCAAGGTTATATTCTAATTGAAGGGCAAGTGAGTCAGATAATGCCATAGCTAGATCAGGACACAGCACACTTTGATTAGAATTTTCCACAATCAATAAAAACATTGTACACTAGCTAATGCTTAAGTTCAAGTTATAGAACCTTTTGTTACTAGAGTAGTTGTACAGTCATACTAACATTTTTTCAAAATTTTAGCTACAGGCCCTGGCTTAGGCCCTGGGCTCGGGCTTTGCAACAACCCAGGCCAGGCCCTAGGCCCTCAAAAGCCCTAGCCAGGGCTCGGGCAGGGCTTGGCCTATACAGGGCTTGGCCCGAGGGCTTTAGGGCTTCAGGCCTGGCCCTGCACAACACTAGACGGACCCTTCAGTTCCTGTTGTTGCCTACATAGAAGGAAAGAGCACACATTGCAAACAGGCCATTAATTATGAAATGACTTAAGGTTGGCTGATACTAGCTTGCTGAAGAGATCGTAAAGATGTCAGCTAACTTGAACGTGGCATCTTAGAGGGGCGAGCTGAGTTTGAAGCTCCGGGCACTGCCGGGGCTGGACACAGTGTTTCCACTCAGAACGCCTTGCTGCACGTTCCCCAGCAGATCGACTTCCGCCAATGATGGTACCATACGCTGACCCTTTGAGAGCGATGAGAAGGGTTGGATTTGTCTCATCAAAGTATGCAAGGGAATCCACTTCCCCATCCAAAGACCTGACTCATCTATGGCGTCGGGATTTGACGGCGTTTGTCAGCTAACCAACACCAGTCCCTGTCTGCACTAATTACCGCAGTCTTCGTACATTGACAAAGACATAACAGCCGATGCTAGCTAGGCGACCTATATAAGGAGGGGGAGGTGAGCTTCGTGACATCACTTCCTTATACATCATGCCTGAACAACTCACGCACTACGGAAGCAGCGTGAGTGATCATCCTGGTCTAGTCAAATTTATAGTCACGAATCTATTCAGTCCAGCATTTATGCGCACAGGGTCAGTAACATTGCTCACTGTTTTACTCTCATGAGATTAAATATGCAGCTCGCAGACGGCTATAGCCCTACTAGAGGCAAAGGCTGAGTACACCCACTATGAGGTCGACTTCAAGAACAAGCCCGACTGGTTCGTCAACATCAACCCCGCGGGAAAGGTATAGCGATCTTTCCGAGTCGTTAAAATGACTATTGAATGACTTCATACTACCGCAGGTGCCCGCTATTACATACGGCGGACCGAAGGTAGCACCAGATGCACCTTCTCCGGAATCCACAAAGCTCGCCGAATCAGCCGTCCTCCTCGAGTTTATCGCTGATCTCTACCCATCCTCTGGCCTCATGCCTTTGGATCCTATCCAGCGTGCGAAGGCTCGCTTTATAATCAACTTGGTCGACACTGTTCTCTTCCCAGCGATGCTCGCTTGGATGATACAGGGTGGTTCGGCAGAGGGGGTCGCTGGTGCATTGAAGACGCTGCAAGCGCACCTCCCCGAAGCGGGTAGAGGCAAGTACGCGGTCAACGGTGACTTCACAATCGCGGACGCAGCACTCGCACCCTTCTATGCACGCATTTTGATGATAGCCGAGAGGGGGCTGCACAAGAAAGGCAAGGAGTACGCAAGCGATATCTTAGTCGCCCTCGCGAGACCGGAATTTTCCAAGGTGAAAGAGTATGGGGAGAGACTATTGGCGCGTCCAAGCGTGTACGAATCCTGGGACGAGGTGAGTGCTCCACCACGAGACGTAACAAGGTTCTGAATACATTTATAGGATAAAACCCTCGCCTATATGACCAAAGCGATAATGGGCTGAACACAATCTTTGGTAGCCTACGGAATCTTCAGCGTCCGCTATAGGAGGTGTGCTCTAGCAGTAAACATCGCTTGATCCGACGTATGTTCTTGTTTCGTTACGCTCCAAACGAGAGCGAAGTCTCTAAATTTGGGGGGCATGTAGACGCGTAGAACTTCTCCGTGCATATAATAGACATGAGACTATTTCTGTGAAGCTGGTTCGCTAGAACGATCAGAATATGAATGGAAACTCATAGTTTGCAAACATGGGGGTTGAATGAGCACTTCGGCATGGCCTGTCCTTTGCACCGGGGCGTATCCGCGTTTACGCGCCCGCGAGCGCCTAGACTGCAGTGGCTCGGCTCTACCAGTCGCTTCGCGAGCATCATTCCAATCACAGTGCCATCGAGCATTTATTTGTCAGAGTAAAGCCTTCGCGTTCTAGTAAACGCCCCTCAAGTCACTTGAACTATGTCCGCCATACGTCCCGCCTTTTGTTTCAGTGCTCTCATTATGCTCTGGTTAACCACAAAGCGAGCTGTTCGGTTTGATGACGATGACCTCATAGAGCTCGCAGGCACTTTATGTAGGTCAACTCCTTTATTGGCTGGCGTACTCTCTGCAAGGTCACATTATATGGCCTCTGAGAGCTTAGATTGCCATGGAAGCGGAACAAACGCCGTTAAGAAGAGGTGTTCTCGAAGCGGTTCCGAACTAAGCCCCAAACGCGCGGCGCCCCCAACACACTCCATGTTTCAGCTCAACCTGCTTGACTCGCGCGTGAGCGTGATGAATATCCTTGTTGTAGCGGCTGTCCTTTCGGACCCGTTCGCTAATGTCAACCACATCTGCTTATGGGTCTTCAAGCGAGTGCATGACGGCCAATAGGGACTCGGGATACACCACGACGCAGGCACGCAGAAAGAGCGGTCGAATGAGGTGGACTTCTGGGCGAATTTCATACACGAAATTAAGAGACAGGAGAAGACCCGGTGGACGGGGGTGCCGAGTTTGCAGAGTTCGGGAGGGAAGAATAGACAGGAAGGCAGAGAAGTATTGGCTGTCGTGAATGATAAAGTTTATGGGTGGGGATATTACAGTAAAGATCATGATGAAAACAGGAAGAGAAATAGTCAGTGTACGTGCGTTCTGGGATATATGCAACATTAGCAAGAAAAAAACTACAAGAGCCGGCTGGATAGATAGCACAGCTTCAACCCCGCAACTGCTTCCGCGCTGTCCCGACATGGGTGTTGTTCACCTTTAGAACCACGACAATCAGTCCGCATGCTGCAGAAGGAGGGATACTAGTAGGAGACAAACCTTGGTCGCGAACCGCAGACTCGCGAGACTCTCGCCGAGATGGGCGCGGAGCGGCGAGAGGTTCAGAATCATAAGCGTCTTGGAGCTCCCGCTGAGCGAGTATTGCAATAGATACGTAAGCTGCTCACAAACCACATCAGCACGACCGCCTCATTAGCACCAGAGAACGACGACCCACCTTCGAGTTCCTATACGGAATATGTCTCTCCAGCTTCCCATCGCTCACCCCCGTCGAACCCGACGCGCCTTTCTCACCCAACGCAGCAATCACATCCCCCAGCGCACTCAAACTCTTATTGATGCTCTGTGTCTCCTTCAGCCGCTCGCCCTTCGCCCCACTGCGGTCCAGCCGCTCGCTCCCCGCCAGATCCACAAGGTTCAGGCAGCCCACGCACTTCTCGCCCGTGAGCGGGTTCGTGCCTTTGAGTCGGAGCGTGAAAACGGAGTGCGAGCGCGAGCTGTGCGCGTTGGCGAGCGTGGCGGCGACGGTGCGCCGTGCATTTGCCCGCGCGAGGAGCGCTTGCACAGACGCGGGTGTGGGGAGGGGCAGGACGGTGAGGTTCGTTACGCGCGTTGAGGAGGTTTTGGGGTCGTGTTTGATGTCGAGTTTTAAGGGTGCAGATTGGGGGGAGACGAGGAGGTCGTTGATGGATTCGTTGTACTGTTGCCCGCGAAATATGGTTAGTGTTGGTGAGAATAGAGATAGGGAGAGGAAGACAATGGGACTTACGATCTCAAGGAACTGACCCTCCATGGTGTATTCCCAGCCTTTACTTCGCAGTTCTTCGGCGGCTTGAAAGACCTTGTCGACTGCACGAGGGATCATACCTTGGTCCTCTGGCGACTAATGCGATATTTGGTCATCAGATAGAGCAACATTCAGAGTAATGACAGAATACCAACCGAGCCGCCCTCCATGGTGTACGACTTGCCTGAGCCCGTCTGGCCGTAAGCGAATATACAGACGTTATATCCGTCGACACAGCTCTGGGCGAGTAGCGAAATCTCCTCGAAGACTTCGGCCTGTGTGCTCATCGGCTCAAACACCTGTGTCGCCCCGTTAGTCAGTATTCACTAACCGATGGAGAAGTGAAGGGAAGACGTACTCGGTCGAACGCAAAGTTATACACCTCCTTCCGCTCGTTGCCCATCGCACTCTCCGCCGTCGAGCGCAGCATAATCTCCCGACGATCCTGCTGATCCGGAAAGTGCATATCCGCAGCCGCCCCCAGCTCCTCTGGCGTCCCTCTTCCACTCGCTGCCCCGCCTCCACGGCCGTTCGACGCGGCGCTACCCACGCTCCCTCTCGAACTCGACTCCACCATCGTCACCTCCCGGTCGCACGGCAACACGGGCCTCACCCGACAGAAAACGCGGATGTTGCCCTTGAGCTCCTGCACCATATTATGCAACCTCCGCCGCACCGCCTCCGCCTCCCTCGCCTCCTGTTCTAGCCTCTCCACGTCCGCATGCGCCTCCTCCAAGCGCGGCTCGAGCTCCCGTAGGCTCGTGTTCTCCTTCTGCAAAGTCGCGACCTGCGCATTGAGCCCAACGAACGTCGTACTCTGGCTCGCGACCGTCGCTCGGAGCCGCCCTGCAGCCTCCCGTTCTTCCTTGAGCTCCTTCCGCACCCTCGTGAGCTCTTCAGTGGCCTCTCGCGCCTCACGTTGCGCACGCTGCACAGACAGCTCCAGCTCGAGCACTTCACGCTCGTGCCGTTGCCGCAGAGCGTCCGCTACATCACCCGCGTGACGCCCCTGCTGCGCCGCGAGCTGTGCCGCGAGCGCCGCTTTGCCGGATTCGAGATTTGTGCGCTGCAGATGTTCCGCGTCGAGAGCTTCAGCGATGGCGGCTTGGTTCGCGGCTGCTGACGCAGTGTTGCGCGAGGCGGGGTTGGACACGGTGCGCCGCGATGGAGGACCGCCTTGCTTGGGAGGGGCGCTTGTCGCGCGCGTGCCTCTGCGAGTTGCTGTGCTGAGTTTGGGTGGGGCGGGCATGGTGAGCCGGGGTGGTGGGCCGTTGGACGTGGATGCTTTTCGGCCATTGGTGGATGGAGGTTTCCCGGAGGTGAGGGTAGACCGTGCGGATGGAGGTTTGTTGCCGCTGCGAGAGGCAGCAAGCGGGCGTTGTGATGTAGCATTTCCAACAGCAGCGACCTTGCGGGGTCGTAGATTGAGAGGGTCGGGGCCTCCTGCCTCGTCTTCCTCCTCGAGGGCGTCGAGCTTGCGTTTGTTCTTGTTCATGTTAGATTACTTCTGTGACAAAATTCCTAGTGAGATCGCGTTTTTTCGAAGCGTGAGTTTCCTCAGATTTGCACGACGAGCGTTGAGCGCTGTTCTTGACGTCGGCAACGGTGAGGGGGACGAGGACGAGTGGGATGAACAAAATCGGTCGGATTCCGGACCCATTGCCAGCGCGACGCGTCAGTCACATGACCGCATACAAGGCCCTATTTCTTTCCTATGTCGGAAACTTTGAGCCTCAGGTGCAAGGTCATTATAAGCAACTAATAACGATCTAATATCTACGTTATGCATTACCCCAACCTCTCTACAACGCCCCTCCAAGAATCCCCTTCCAAACAAAACTCCTCGCATTCCCCCCGCTCTCAACATACCGCGAAAAGAACATCTCATCGCCAGGCTCCTTCCCGCCCTTCCACCGCACCTCCCCACCGCCCAGCCCCAGCCCATCAATCGCGGCACTCTCATCGGGCGCACCGCCGAAGTAGCCCATCTCCGCACCTGTGCTCGCGCCCTTGCCGAGTTCGGGCTTGCCAGCGCCCCCGATGGCGCCGTCTGCACGCCAGACGCTAAAGAGGGCTGCGGCCTCGGGGATGCTGAGTTTCGACGGAACGGGGATGGTTTCCAGCCCAGAGGCGTAGAATTGCGCGGTGGCGTGGCGCTGCACGTATGGGCCGGACGAGGGTGCGTGTGAGGGGGTGTTAAGAGACTCGGCAAGCTCGAGGGGAAGAGGATAGTGGGGAGAGGATGAAAGCGCGCCAAGGACTGCGCCGCGGGCCTAATAAAGGTATTGAGATGGTCAGTTCTACGCTGAGTCGAGAGAAAGAAATCAAGCAGTGAACGTACAAAGGTCTTGTTCCCAGACGCATACTCCAAAATCAGCCTCGGCATACTCAAATGCCATGGCCGGATCTGCGCGAAATGCGGGTCCTTGTACGCCGACTTGCCATAAACCGCCTGGAAATCATCCACCGCGAGCAACACGGGCCTCTTGGTCTGCTGGCCGAGCTGCTCGAGCAAGCTGTCCAATACGGCTGGCGCGACGCTCGCCTCGCGCGTGCCGATCTCAATCAGTTGCGTAATGGGCGTGCCTGGAGGCAAGACGGTGCCTTCGCTGGCCGCTGGGTTTGTGCTTTGACCTTGGGGCTGGAGACCGGCGAGGAGCACCGCACGGGGCTCGAGCTCTACGGGAGTGGATGTGACGAGGTCGTTCAGTTTAGCGGCGTTGGCGCGGGCGAAGCGTTTGAGCGTCTCGAGCGCGAATGCACCCTGAAGGTAGGTTTGTGTGCGGGCGTCGTACACGTAGGGGGTCGAAGAGTTGACGAGGTCGATACCTATGCTATAGTGTAAATACAAGGCACAAGCGGGGAGCCAAGGAAAAGGGAGAACGCACCTCGAGGGATGTAAAGTACTAACCAGTCCCTCCCAGCAGCATACTGCGTCGCCTGGAGGAGCGCAAAACTCTTCCCGCACCCTTCATCACCGGCTGGACCACGGAAGCGTCGGTCAACTCCAACCTGTCTCGGAACCCTGGCGAAGGACACTCACTCAGCACAAGCCGATTCCCCTTACTCCCCTCTTGCCCCGCCTTATCCAGCCTATCCACCACATCCAGCGTAACCCCTCGTACAACACTGCACGCGCGACTCAGCAGCCTAAACTCCAGCACCATCCGTCTCTGTACACCAAAGACCCGAAAAGGCGCAGAGGCGTCTTGCGCTGCGTCCGCGAAGGCCAAAGCTCGGGACGCTTGAGAACGCGTGAGCGTGTCCGCGCGGAACGTTGGGAGCGCGGCAAGCGGGTCCGGGTTCACGGTTTGGAACAAAGGAGAGGCGAGTTGCGCTGCAGGGAGAGGTTTGTATTGCTGTTTAATTCATGGGTGTAAGTGGGCGTTCGAGGACAAGAAGTGGAGGGAAGCACACACCATAATTCGCGCATTAGGATCGACCTTGTACTTCTTCTGCGACTCCTGGTTCCGCCCGCCTTTGAAGCCGTTTGCTAGGGCAAGGTGGATTTAACATCTCCACGTAGAGGATTTGTAGAAACGGACTCACGTCCTTGCTTTGAAGCTGCCTTCTTCTGTACAGCGGCATACGAGCGCGTCTGCACCGTGCTGCATGCGCCGGGACCTTTGCTGAGCAGTTGCTTCCTGGAAGCGCCAGCACCAGCGCGCGACGTGGCCGCACATTGTCTCGATAGTGCCGACATGTCTCGACAAGGGAGGAATGCGAAGCGGGAGAGGGTTCGGAGTAACTGGTCCGAGAGTTTTTGGCGGAGGAAAATGACAGACCCGCGCGTGCGGGATTCGGATGCTTTCGGGACTTGCCGGGAGATGAGCATTAGGAGTCCTAACTTAGGACGCATTAATGTCCAGTTTGCTTATCCTGCCAATTCCTTGCGTCTTGTTAGTGACGTTTCTTAGACCACCAACCCTCACTATAATGAGGCACTGTATCGCCTAATTTGGTCAATAGGGCGGCTATTGCCAATGACTTTTTGGATGCGGACATTTGGACTTCATATGGGACTCTACATGGGCAAGAGTTCTGACCATCAGGCCACCACCGCACTCTGCGGCGAGTCGCCAAACCACGCTTTGGCAGCATTAGCAGTAGGATTGCCGCATAATCAAGTGAGGGCTCGGATCGGCCCATCCTACATGTACATCTTCACAGTTTTATACAGGAATAGAATAGCGATGCACTGAAAGACTATAAAAAATGATGGGCGTTTATCAAGGCATTTATCGTGTGGCCGTATACTGCTCGCCCCTAGATCGTATTTTGCGATAATCACCAGGTCAATTCACCTGGAAGCATCGCATCTTTGATCTTCTACCGTCAATGGCTACTCACACCGCATAAGGTCGCTTTCTTTTAAGCTTAAGAGATGGGTGCCTGCTGTCATTTCCCACCTTCCCAGACATGAATGCAGACCAGGCGAACCAGTTATGGGCCATCCTCCCCGAGGCCATTTTATACGGTGTGTAATACAAGTTTCATGATGCACGCATCGAGTCTTTTAGGAAGCATACCTCAGGGATATTCTGTGTTTTACTAGGACTGGATATTCATTTCATCACCTTGCGTCGCGAGACAAATGCGACCAAGGCTAATAAACGTCTCTTGATTGTTATCACCCTCATGTTTGTTGTTGCCACAGTCGTGAGTTATTCTCCTATTCTTCCTCTATCATCGCAGCTGCAACGTACTCTATCAAGCACATGGCATCCTCTGCGTGCTATGTCTATTCTTCCTTCAGAATGACGCCTGGATAGGAGCTACCTGCAATACCATCAATACACTTATCGATGCATGGAATAGTATTTACTGATTCGTATGATTTCCCATTCGTATGGGCGATAATGAACGATGGGGCATTCACCGGTGGGATGGCTACATTTGCGATACAGCAATGGCTTGGAGATGGATTCATGGTACGTGCGCAGCCAGGAAGGTTCTGTGGCTAGTCTATGAACCGCCTTAACTTGTCTCTCTGTCAGGTTTACAGACTATGGAAGGTTTGGAACGGTGACAAACGCGTGGTGATTCCCATGACCGCTGCGTTTGTCATTGACGTCCGTACGTGGATTCTCGACGATTAAAATGTTTTCTCGCTGAAGTACCGAAGTCTTCGGTTTGACTATGGCCCTGGGTTCTGTGGGTCTCTTTGAAAACACAATGATTCCTTCGCTGATGGTCAGCTTCCTGGTCCACCTAGGATGTACAGGTGCGAGCTCACTTCAGTGATTATCGATCTCGGCTGAGCAGACGGACCATAAAGTGCTCATCGTTGCTAATATTTTCTACATTCACCGGCAGATCAGAGCGTATGCTCAAGGCATCCGCAACACTAGTCCTGTGGCTATAGCAGCTATTCTACTTGAATCAGGCGCAATATACTCAGCTTCTATTCTTGGCCTTCTTGTTACCTTCGTAGCACCTAAGACAGCAGCAAAAAGCTCCATCGAACAGTCCATACCTCTCATGAGTGCTGTAAGCAATCATCCACAACAAGCCCTCCTCACTATAAATATCATTAATGCATGACCCGCATAGATCGTCCCCCTGATTGTAAGTCAAGACTTTCACTCACTCCGTGTAGGCGTACTCACTCATATGATAGGGCATTGTATTTTCTGCAATAATCATCCGAATGGGCATGGGTCTCTCCCCTGAGACATATTATACAACACGCGCCAACACAAGAGGGGATGGTGCTGCCATGAACAATAACGATACCATACCATACAACGGTCCGGTGTTCGCGCCGCGAGTGTCTTATAATCCTGCAGATTCGGCATCGGGACTCATAGCAGTGTAAGTTGATAATGCCCAGGATGCTATGAATCACCGGATAGATACGAGAGGGACGGTAGAGGCCGAAAGGTTGTGCCAAGAGGTGTTGGTGGGGAGGAATAACTGAGGTGCAGGTGCGGTGGACTCGAACTTTGTAAACCGCCATAGAAAGTCGTCGGGGAGTTGCTCCGTTTTTCTCGTCGCATATCATGCTTTCATAGTAAATGATTTATGAACCATCTATAAGTCATAATAAGTGTACGGTCGACATTTCCTGTACCCGTCCTGAATATGCCAATACTGACAAGTAGACATCATGGAATACCTGGTAGTATGCACTTGACGTCCTAATCTTCCTTTCCCTTTTCATTCCCCACACACAAGTCCAACACAACTTCAAGACGCTTTTTACCCAGACTACATCTTGTTGCACACTAACCATGGCCAGCTCGCCAACATTGAGTACTTCAGAGTCTTTGTTTACCTCTTGAACATCGCACAACTGGGCGCTGGGTGAGGTCAAAGAAACGGGTCGCTGCGATACATGTGTAGACGGGGGTGTGAATGACGGAGACTGGGAAAAGGTAAATGGGCGGGATAGGACGCGAAGGTGACACTTATGTGGAAGGACTCAAATGGAGCCGGGAGGTGGGAACGACGGCACCTGCGATGTAGAGGACGTGGCCCCGGTCGAGTGAAGGATGTCATGTCGGTAATGTAAGGTTCGGGAAGGGACATGATCTGCGTCCTTTCCCCACGTGCGGTCTTGACGAGCGACGAGCTAGAGATGACGGGCACGATGATACTAGTTCATCCATGGTGGGTGAACCCTGCGTGCATCGGCGTATGCGCATAAAGTTTATGCTGACGAAATGGACGCAGGTGATGTCTGACAAACCTGTAGCAATCACCGACTGGAGAATCCGTGAGAACGTACCACCTACAATGGTGACCAGTGAGGCACCCCTGTCTGTTTCTTTTGCAACCATCTTGCCCTTCTCAACTTGTTCTCAACGATGCCTCCAATGCATCATGCGACGCGTGTTTCCGCGCAGATATCTCCAAGGTCCCTAGAACCATATTCGTTTCAATTTGAGCTCTTAGCTTAACTCGGTCCATAGCTCGGAACCCTACAAGGACCCGAGCCTCAACACACTCACGCATCGGTGGAAGTCGGAGGATCCAGGACGCGGGAAGCGAAGTGCTTCTCAGATTGGCCCATTCGTGATGATATTACACCAGGGTCCCACTGCAATCTTGTGTAGTCCGGAACTAAACGGACGGTTGCCCATGGAATGTTTACAAATGACAATAAGCAGATCCGAAAAGCCAAAATGGCGCGCTGAACTCAGTGCTGTTTCTACTGGTACCCTATGTTAATGAGGTGTTATGAACTCCCAATCCGCGCCCAATTCAATGACGCATAACTTTTGATTCGCTCAGATAGATTTGGTGATTCTCGGAAGCGCCACAATTCGCATCGATCTTCCAAGGATGATTCTATTTGTTTCATGCGCTTCAGCGCCTACCTTATCATTTCTCTTACTTCAGCTTCCTGGCCGAACCACATCAGATCCGTTCTCAGTACCACCGTATGCTATATCTATACCCGAGCCGAGTTCGCTCCGCGTTTGCTCGCGAATTCCTCTCCATCCGTCTCCAACGTTTTCAACACTCCACCACTTCGGCATGTCAACATTGGACTCCTATGTAGCTGGCCTTCCCGCCGAGCAACTATGGGATACTCTTCCTGAAGCGATGTTATACGGTCGAATGTCTCTCCTCCATATTGGTCTGAGTGCTGAAGTCCTTCAACTCTAGGAGTCTTCGGGCTATTCCTTGGGCTGGACCTTTGTATCGTAATGATTCGGAAGAAGGACAATGCCTCCAAACTAAACAATCTCGTGTTAAGCGCGGTTGCTCTTATGTTCGCAGTGGCAACTGTGGTGCGTGTGACTTTGCGTGCAGTAAAACTATTACTTACCTGCTTCTTAGCATCTTATCTCAACTGTCGGCGCATCGTACTACTATAGCAACTTGATCACTCAGTTCCTAGTGTCAAGCGGTGGCCAATCCCAGAGCTTTACATCGCCATCACTTACGGGACGACTATATGCAATGCAAGCAGTGCAAACGGTCGCGTTCGTTGTTCAGTTATGGCTTGGCGACGGGTTCATGGTATGTATCAAATGTGATACAACATTGAACGAGCGCTCAAATTATTTACTCGCTATGTGACCTAGCTATATAGGCTTTGGAAGGTCTGGAACAATAACAAGCTTGTGGGAGTCCCGATGTCGCTGTGTTTTCTCTTCAACGTTGGTGAGATCGACCAGATACATGTAACATGCTGGTCTAGCTGCTTATTCAGACTTAGCATTTGGTATCATGCTAATGTACGACGCAACGGACGACAAACTTCAAACTATGTCTGCCATTATGGCTATCAAGAATGCTTACGCCATAATCGGAAGCGTAGCTTTATTTGCGACGAGCTTTGTTGTTCACTTGAGCTGTACCGGTACTTAGCTCAGCCACTCAAGGAGATGAGATCAAAGCTGACAAGCTTCCAACTTAGTTCTGACTGCCGGAAGAATCTTCTATATTAATCGCAAAGTTCGGGGTATCGTTCACGGATATAGACATTTTAGTCTGACGTCGGTGGCGATAGCCATTCTCGAGTCCGGTGCAATCTACTCGCTGTCGATTCTCAGCGTCTTGATTTCTTACACTACCCTGACTGGTATTGATGGCTATTATATGATCATCATGAATGCAGTGAGTGATCATCATTCATCTCCAAGCGGTGCTGAAACCCTTTGATGCACAGGTCCCACCTTTAATCGTGAGTACGGGTCTACAGTATCCTCAGTGGCATGACCTCAACAACGCGTTCTATAGGGCATCACATTCTCCATTATCATCGTGCGAATGAGTCTTGGTGTCACTGCCGAAATTTACGTGAAGGAACGCGAAAAGAAAGTTGCAATGGCTGGAGACACGAGGGGCACTACAGCAACTCCCACCTTGGTATTCGCACAGAGACCGACCTTGGATGATGACAACCTGGAAGCAAAACAAGGAGTGCAGCTTCAAGTTTTCCGTACAAGGGATTCGCTCCCGTAGAATTTTCATGTCCCTAGAACAAAGAACATGCACTAAACAGAAAGTGGTAGCAAATCAGGCACGCGGTCAGCAATCATCTTTGTATATGTGACATCTCTGTAGCATGCAGTTACACTTCCTTCATTTTCACTGGGTGTCCTTCTTAGTTCTGGGACAAGATTCGACTCAGCTGAAAGATGAATATCAACATCCACAGTGATATCACGCTTAAGTATTCAAAAGGTTAACTGATGGCTCACTTGATCATGTAAGAGCAAGATACCAAAAGTCATCTGGAAATTTCTCCCCTTAGCGGGATCGCCAAGACATCAAGCTTCATCACCCACCAATCGTATCAGCACAGCAGACAGTGACCGATTTGGATATGAGAGCGAGAAGCCGACTACATCTTGGGTGCTGCCATCGGAAGCTGTGAGTGTTGTTAATACTCGGTAGGGCATTTCTGTGGGCTCAAACCTGGTTGATGTAATTTACTGGGGGAAGTTGAGCAAATACAAGTTGACTATGGTATTCAGCGAGCGAAATAGGAGGAGAGCTTAGATGACGTAGCATACAATATTATGAAAGGTGCGCCTAGATAAGGGGTAGTTCAAATATTCGCACCCACCCCAATCGTATCAGAACAAAAGCACATGCTAGCTACCGTGTACAAGTTATAAATCTCGATGAATCTCGAGCCTGTGCAATTGCTTGATAAATAAAGTCATTCCTCTCATCTTCTGGAACTCCGCTGTGGCAGTGTAGTTATTCAAGGAACACGCGATGGTCAAATGCTATCCGCACAGCAATCAAGACTTGCCCATATATACTTAGGGCTGTTGGAATGGCCATGCAATTGATTGTGCTCAACGTAGAAATGGATACACCTGCCGAAGAAATCTGGTATGTTTTGCCGGAGTATGTGTTTTATGGTACGTGGTTTTGACCCATCAGCATAAATAAGCAACGCGAGCTAATTGACAATATTTGCAGGAATATTCTGCGTCTTGCTGGGAGTGGATATCCGCTATATCAACTTGCGAGGGAGGAAAAGCACCCATAAAGTCAACAAATATCTTTTGATCACACTATGTTTAATGTTTACAGCGGCAACACTGGTAAATTAAGTCCTTGCTCATTCAGAGTGTGCACTGACATATCTGTTTCTTATAGCATTTAGCTTGCACAACTTGCGGAGTATACATCGATATTAAGCATCAGTTTCTCGAGGCCCTCCGCATTTCACAAGATTTCAACAATTATGAGTCAACAACAATAGTGGTAGGAGTGATTACGCAGGCTGCTTTTGTCAGCCAGCTATGGCTTGGTGACGGATTCATGGTATGTTCCTAGCTGAGAAGAGTGCCATAAACCAAAGTTGTCTCACGCCTTGTCAACTCGCAGTTGTATAGGTTGTGGAAGGTGTGGAACCACGACAAACGGGTAGTCATCCCCATGACTGTTGCCTTCCTCATCAACATACGTAAGTGACTATCACTGGTTTATGATCGCAACAGTCCTACCACTCAAAATGTCATAGCGCTCGGAGCTCTCGTGATATCAGAGATCTTCATTGAATTTGCCATGACACCCCTTCTGGCCACGAGCTGCGCAGTACATCTCGGTTGCACAGGTACAGGTTCTACTTCTCATATCAAAGAAGCTGAACGACTAAACAGAACAGGTTTGATTGCTGCTAGAATATTTTACATCCAATGGCAAGTCAGAGAATATTTCCAGAGTAACTCTCCCACCAGCCTCACGGCCGCTGCCGTTATCATACTTGAATCCGGCGCCATTTACTCAGCCTCTATACTTTGCCTTTTAGTCATGTGGGATATTCTAAGTCCGTATTGTTCAGTTGTAATGAATGTTGTGAGTGTATGTCTTCTCTATGTATGCTAAATATGCTGAATATCAATGCTCGCATAGATTGTACCTCTGGTCGTAAGCGCCAATGAAGTACCGTGTCATGGAATATTCTGACTTAATTGACAGGGCATTGTCTTCTCCGCAATAATAATCCGGATGGGCCTTGGCCTGTCGCCCGAGACATACTACACCACACGTGGAAACACTGAGGAAATGAGCGGCGTAAATGCCGTTCCAGCCGACGCAACCATCGCCTTTGCTCCTGGCACGTCTACCTGCTCAATAGAAACAGTTTAGCAAGCAAACTCTCAGTATATCTGTGTCAGAAGCACAATTAGTCCTAGGCCAAATCAACCAACTGGTAATTTGATACATTTGAAAGGTGGAAAGATCCGCATGTAATGAAAATTTGACGCAATGGTTCCGTAAATATATGATGAGATAAGGTCATGGTTTCAAAACGTGAGAGTATGTAGAATATCGGGCAAAAAGATGACTTGGGGACGATGCGAAGTGATCGGAAGGTACTTGATCGGAAATTGTCTGCTACCCGGATACCCTTGACTGGAACAAATAGGCCAACGCTGGATGAACGTGGTCCAATCATCCTCCGGCGCAGGCGTTCTTTTTATAAGCCGTTGGAGTTGCTGTGATCTTCGCGTTTCAGCTTCACTTGTGATTGTCACCTGTTCTCTGATGGTTTGCCGTCAACTCTCTCACCTTCTGCGTTCAGCCTTGTTATAAAAGCAGCTGGACAAGATAACTTTGTTTATCACGCATCAGCGCACACACGTTGACCGTCATTATTGATCATGGTCGCTACATTGAACAGCACAGCCCAAGCGGTGTCAAACATAGTCCCCGAGTCAGTGCTTTACGGTGCGTTATTTCCGATATGGACGATCCGTAGGGCCAACCACTGAAGGTACTGTTGTGTTACTAGGGATGTTTGGCGTGTTGTTTGCGCTGGACATCATCACCATATTTTATCGAGGAAAGCGTAACAAGAATAAGGCCAACAAGCTCGTGTTGGTAGTCGTAGGATGCATGTTTGGGATAGCGACACTGGTGCGGGTGTCTTGCAATAATATAGCGTGGCGCGTGACGGAATAGCTAACTCAACTTCGAAGCATCTTGTCTGCTCCGCAATTGCAGCATGCTCCGATGGTATCTACGCAGAAGAGAAGATAATTCCAGAGGCGATCGCTTTGCTTGCGTTCGTTGTCCAGTTATGGCTTGGAGACGGATTTATGGTGCAACTTGTACCCTTGATATCTCGTGATACGAGTACTCACACAGTGTGGTTTCCCCAAGCTCTACAGGCTGTACAAGGTTTGGAACAATGACAAACGTGTTGTTATACCCATGACCCTTGCATTTGTGGTTTCCGTTGGTAATTCAGCTCTTCAAATCGATTCAAATTTTATGTATAACCATCCTTACAAGGTTCTGGAGCATGGATGGTGGCCACCTGCGCTATCTTGATTGCTACCGAAAGCACAGCTGGGAATGACCCAGACTTTTGGCCCATATTCTGTACTAGCTTCGCGGTCCATCTCGGGTGCACAGGTACGGAACAAACTGCGTTCGCGTTTTGGGGTTGTCTTCAGAAGATTGATGTAACTCCTAAACAGCCCTGATAGCTGGTCGAATTATATACATGTATCGTCAAGTCAGGGCGGTGTCGCAAAGCAGTCGCCGTACTCTGTCGGCCGCGCTCGTATTGCTCGAGTCAGGCACGATATACTCTGCATCGATACTTTGTCTCTTAATCACTTCAGTAACGGCTGAGATCGGTCTCCTTAGCCCTAATGGAAACGTACCAAACGGGTACAACTATTCACAAGCAGTCATGAACTCAGTAGGTGAATTCCCCAAATATTCCTCAAAATATCTAACACGACCGTAACTGCAGATTGTACCTCTCACTGTGAGTAGTAGTATACACCCGGTAATCAATTAATCATTTCTGACGTTAACCATGTCTTCAGGGTATCACATTCTCGATCATCATAATCAGAATGGGTCTAGGCATATCTACTGAAGCCTTCACGGCCCGGTCGTCCGCAATCAGAGCAAGCGATGGCACCACTCACCGCTACGCTGACTCTTCTTTGGTGTTTGCATCTCCTCCGCCAGTCCCCGCTGAAGATGAAAGCTCGAACTCGTTTTCTAGGAAGTGAGGAGCGTGGCGTGCGTGGTCACGAGGACGCGCCCTAAAAGGTCATTCGATAGTGTTCGGAATAACGCCCGGATGAGGTTATCAGTAGATAATAAGTTAATTCTGCATTTAAAGACTTTGCTTCGTTAGATACTAAAAATATAAGTACGAGCACGTCCATTAGTTTATTACAACAATGTTATTTGTAGGAAGTTCCATGGCTGATGAGCCTCCCGTTTAGAGCCATGTTATGGAGGTGGAAAGAGTGGGCACTCACTAGCTGAAATTGCAAGTCCCGCACCTTCCCTCCTCGCGTTGAACCACAGTATCCACTACGAGCCTGAAGTCCTCACCACCTTAGTAGTGCGTTTCGCGTAACACTCGTTGAGCTTCGTCAGCTTATTATGCTTAAAGACCTCAAAATCGTTGATATTCCCCCGAGCAATGGGAATCAGCGAAGCAGCGAGTGAATTGAGGGCGGGAGTGGAGGTGGTTACGTATGGCATGAAATGCGCTGAAGGGGATGGGGAATGAGAGCAAGGCATGGGGTTGGGAGTGAAGTTAGTGTGACACGTGAGGGTTCAATCGGGGTAGAGGAGACAGACATGGTGGTAGAAAGAATGCTACCGCAGCTGGATGTCGTGCATTGCGGTACCATGTCGGACTCGGTCTGAGGGAGGAGGGAAGGTGGTGTTAACGTATTCAATCCTTTATTACACAACGCGGTCTTGGTGAGCGTTGATATTGAATATTGAGATGGTGCGTGCAATGACGTTGACACCTTCAAACGATATTGCGCCTTATTATACAGACAAATATGCAAACATAAGCACACATTCCTGATGAAGCAGACACGGGTAACGCACCCCGACTCTGACCTTGACCAGCTTCATCGCACACTCTCCATCTCTGTCCACCAGCTGCGCAAGGTTGGCCGCCACGACTGTTAGTGTATCGGGGAAAATCTTGAACACAGCCTGAAAGTTCTCCGTGATCTCCGCCACGTTTATAACCTCACCCGTGCTAGCGGCCGAAGATATGGTGATAGCTGTGTCCATACCCTTAGCGTCGCTTGGACCCACCTTACTCGGATATCCAGCTCATCAATGAGCACTGCGAGCCTCATTAGCTAGTAAAAAGTACGACCATGTTGATCGTAGACTCAGCATTGATCCTCGGCCCAGAAAAGGGGCAATTTGTGAACCCAGAAGCGAGCCCATATCGTAGTGGATCATCCGCGCACGTTTGCCCAGGTCCGCGATGGCGAACATGCGGCCAACCATATCGGGCTTATGCGTGCGTAGCTTTTGGGGCATGTGAAACTGGTGTGCGGGGTTGTGCACGGATTGCAGGGATCACATGCAACGCGGGTTGGGATACGCCCCGTGATGCCTGTGAGAAGGACAAGCGAGCTGGGCATGGTGGACGAGGTAAAGAAACCTAGGAACTCTAAGAGCGCGTAACTAGTGATTTTGACTAGCTCCTTGATTGCCTGAAATGGCGCTCATGCAACCGCTGTTAGCGACTATACCACGGAACTCCTCTTCCCTACAGGTCGGCCTTACACGTTGACATCTTGGGAACTTCTTCTGAAGTGTTGGTATGCGTGGGAAAACAAACATATTGGGTGAAGATGGTAATGACGGCGGCGGATACGGGGTTGGTGCGGATGTCGCGGGTAAGATCAAGAGAGACTTAAGCGCTGGAGCCTGCGATAAAGGGAAAGTAAGTCAGATGCAAAGACTGAGAGCGGGATTGACTGGGTCGGAGGGCAGCGCACAGCAGGGCATGATGTTGAAGGACCCTAACACCATAACTGTCAAAGGAAGACCAGGAGAGGATCTGCTCCTGTTCCGATAATCGACCACGTACCGATGATCAACGTCCCGCTCAAACCAGTCAAGGTCAGCGTTGAAACGTTGATGAATACAAGGCAGCCTCGCTGCGCTACGGCACTTGGGGATCTTGCCCTATCATGTTGCTCGATGGGAATCGCCATCCTATTGTACTGGAAACGAAAACTCGAACACGAGTAGACACAGTGCCCGTGGATATCTGTCGTGCAGTTCAGAACCCTACATCGTATACAAATACCGAGCACTAACGCGAGATATGCCACAGCCACAAAGCCAAACATGTACAATGCCAAGCCGGGCATAATTTTGAATATACGAGTAAATTGGAGCAGTTGGCGCGTCCTATTGCATCGGGCCAAACGGCCCGGAATGTAACCCAGAGAGATCCGGATTCCGACGGCAATTTCGGTCCGAGAGCGGATGTGGGAAACACCGGCTGTATGCCCAAGTCATCGATTCATCTCTTGCCTTGACCTCGTTGGGATGAGTTGTGACCCCCTGGAGCCGGAAGTCCCTCGTAAAATAACTTATAAAAAGCATCGTAGAGTCCCTCAAGTTTATTCGCAGCTGTCACTCAACCATACTTCCAACACGTCTGTTTCGAGCTCAGAAGGACGAATGCATGACTTTCTCAAGATGTACAGCTAAGTATGCTTGTTACTGATTGCTTGCCGGGCACCACCTTGCGAAGGCTGAAAATTTTCCCACCCGTAGGCTTACATGTGTGATCCTCCTTGGTACATCATTTGTTGTTCCCAGCTTCGGGTTGAGAAGTAGCGCCCACGCCGTGGAGTGCCTTTGTTTCATCAAGCACAACTCATGCGGGAAAATTATAACTCGATTGTAAGCTTCGGCTTGAAACGTGGGCAGATAGAAGCTTCCACAGCCCATATACTCGAGCACTTGTTCTGGTTAAACTTATGCTCGTATTCACAACATCATTGTAGGTGATCACTCCATTCGCTCGGCCCTTCTCGTGGTCTGATCGGGAAGTACGTTTCCCCTGAGTCTCCACTTCATATATGGCAGGGTGGTGCTATTACCGCGAACAGGAGAACATTATATCATCTTCCACGAACGTATTGAGAGTATCATTCTGATAGTACGTGGCTCAGTGTTGGGTGTCTCACGATGTGTATGACTGTGCTCAGCAGCTGTAAACACCGCCTCAGCTCTTGTATAAAAAGCGCTACACTGCGCCGTCTCGACTGGTTCATCGTGAGACGTCCGCTCAAATTCACTGAAATGTTTACCACTTCAATTCCCTCCAAGCTCATCAAGTTGGGGAACGAGATTTTGATCGAAGATTATACCACAGGTGAGTCCAATTGTGTATTTGTGACATACAGACTTGCGTTGACAACAGGCAAAACTTTAGTCGCTGTCATGACATGGGTGTTATATGATTACCGTGCGTCTCTACACCAGGGTTCTCTCCCTTTCCTCCGTTAACACATTGTGTTTGTGAACTCATCTCTTAGTGTTGAGTTTCGCACTTGAGGTACGCACTGTCAGAGTCATTTGCAGCATTTCTGAGCAAGTCATTGAAACCAACGGCAATGACAGGTGGATTATATCTGGGTAAGTACAAGATTACATCCCGTTGGTAAATAAAGGTACTTTCTGAGTATTCTGAATATAGCGTAAGACGTCAACAACCGCAGTCTATATAGTCGTAGGTCATATACAGCTGTGCAGTGCACTATACTGCTGACAAAAGCTAAGTTGCGGTACCTCGGTTTGATGCAAATGGTGTAAGCTTATATCATCGAGCCTGAGTATGACATTAACCCATGCATGCAGGTTGAGAACAAGTAAGCCCTCATACGGACTATATTCCTGGTGCTTATATCAACTCAGTGATTTGGGTTTTGAGTGCCAAGGAATCGACTAAGGTGAGTGTTATCGCTTTCACTTCTGTAAGGCGACCAAGTGTTAATCGCACTTCATTGGGGTCTCAAAGATGTAGGTGTATCGTCAGAATGCACTATGTTCTGACACCTCTTGGAATTTATCATACTTAGATGTAAGGAATGTTGATGACATCTTCGGTGATGAACTCAACCATTTGCAGGTCGTCCATTCACAATACTGGTCAAGCGTCTCGCACCCACAATTACTATGTTCACCATGCAAGGTTTCATCCGATTCCTATCACAACCTTTGGGTTCTCACGTACTACCGACGCCTTGTAGGAATGATGACCGTGCGGGTATACATACTTCTAGGAAGGTCCCAAAAACTCTTGGCCATACTCGCCGCTTGCTTTTTAGCTGCTCAAGGAGTTAGCGCCGTTGTCGCCATATACTACATAAGAAGAAGTGCTCACTTAATATGTACGTTTGTTATCCATCCTGAATGACATGTAGGCTAAGTCTCTGCCTTACATCCAGCTGAGTCCAGTGCTGACGATATTAGCGTCCATCTATGTGAGGTATCCAAGTCCCACACACTTTCTTGGACGTTGACAGCAACTGCATCATCGCGTGTTGTATACGAAACAATCCTCTGCGGTCTTTCTCTGGTATATGTCTTTAAACACCTTCCGGAGACCACCTCGTTGCGAAGGAGCCCTGCTAGATTCGCAAACGAGCTGTGGCTGCTAATGGTTCGCGATAACTTGGTTTACTTCTTCGCGTAAGAGTTCACGCCATGGTATTCTGTCTACAAAGTCTCACAGTGTGTGTGTAGAGTTCTCTTTGCGCAAATCATCAACATCATAAGCAGTCCTGCAAGAGTAAGTCTACATGCTGTGGAATATAAGGGACATTCTCATCATCGATCATTTCAGTCTGAAGCGACTAAGCTCATCTTCAACAATATCAGCAACGAGCTCAACGCTTTTCAGTATGCCATGGTTGGTCCATGGATGATCATTAGCCTTCGGAAGAGCTACGAAAAAGGCATTGCCCAGAGGACTATAGAGTCGCATGGGCTTTCTGACATAGGATTTGCGAGCGCGAGACAGCACGAAGAGCCACATAGACTAGAATAATCCCGAATCCTGCACGCGTGACAGCCTTCAAGTAGCCGCATCGTAGAGACTACCACTTACAAACCTACAATTGCTGCAAATAAAGTAAGGCGTTGAATGAGTAACGAATTTGTCTTATAGTGCCAGAGAAGGGGGAAATGTGCAAAAGAAAATAGGAACTGCTGGCGCCTTTTTCGATCGAATTCATGGGGGTAGCTGTAGGAGTTTCCTGCAAACGCACGTGCACCTGAAATTTCCGATGCAAACGCTCGTAACATAACAAAAAGTTAAACTTATACGTTTAGCCACATATCTCCCTGTTCTTCTTTGTTCCAATATGAACGGACCCGGAAACACGTTCCATACCTACGCATAACTGCTCTAAAACTTGGACATGAACGCTCAGGCCTTTCTGAGACACTAGTGCTGCAGAAACAACAGCAAGCTCTATCCGGTAGAACATACAACATATAGCCTATACCCATGGGAGGGTCTGACTAGCAAAGAGAAACCTGTATCGCGAAGATATGTCTTTTCATCGCGTCAATGTCGCATGAACTATTGACTCCGTGGGCGGGAACGAGAAGAAGCGTGCTGAAACGTTGGCGGATGCGAACCATAATGCATAATGCTTGGACCATGTCTGTTGGATTGACTGGCTATGCTGCTGTTGCAAATACGGAAGGGAGCCGATGCATACTACACCATGCGCTTAATCCATGATACCATCGCGAGGTCTATTTTGGTGTTAGATTGCACATACCTGGTAGCGACTTCCGAATCCTTAATCATACAAAAGGAAGTACTGCCAGCTCGCAAATATTCTACCTACCTCCGTTTCCCCTCGCTCAGGTATCGGCGGATTCGACATCAATGGAATATGAATCGGCAGTCCAGAACTATACCTCAGGTGAGCTTACGCTAGTCCTCCGGGCGCATTCAATATGAAGATATATTCTGTAGTGGCCTCGACAGTCTTTGTTGTTTATGATTATCGTATGTCATGAATGCTATTGCCAGTGCCACCCTCTTGCTAACTATCATCGACTCCTGGGGTAAAATGACAGTGCTAAACCTTGATCTCGAGGTATGCATCATATTCAACAGCTACAGCTGTGCCAGCTTCGTCTATGAATCGGGCTTAACTGATAATGATATTATCCGAACGAGGTGGAATATGTTTGGGTAAGCCAGATACCTTTGGGGTTAGGATCTAAATGAACTAGGCTCATATACACCAATTCCGCACAGTACAGAAACTTTTCTTCAACAACTCTTTCGTATTTCGTAGTAAGTTGAACTTTTCTTGCTTCGCAATGGTCCACTCATCCGGAAAACGACTCCATCAGCTGCGATATCTAGGTTTGATTAGCCAAGTGGATGTTGTCTTACCCAAATTCTCCTCGGCTCTGACTATAATACACAGTTCATATACATGTAGGCACCTCCCACTTAATTTACGGCAATATCTGATTATCTTTCAGTGGAAGGCTTTTTCAATTACCCATTATCAGTACAAGTAAGCATCTTTGCTCTACAATTTGAGTGCGGAGCTTATGTTCATGATTTCATATGTTCTTTAAGCTGTATGATCATCAGGAAAAACCTCTGACCAATAAAAGAGGGAACACGGGGAAACATGTCTGAAATTTGCGCAAGTTTTCGGCGTGTGAGTAATGGGCAACAAAAAGGGACAATTAACTAAAATTGCAAGAAGTTCTCCAAAGTTTTGGATGAACGATTTGCGGGTATACGGAATAACAAAGATCTCAAACAGGCAATGCTGGTTATAGTGTTGAGCTTGATCAGAGAAAGCAGCTAGTAATATAGGTTATTGGATATCTCAAAGTACGAGTACATGTATTTGAATGAATCAACATAGAGGTGTCGTAGGTAGCTAAGTCCACAGAAACACTCAAAAGCGCGTTTCAGCCACAAAAAGCAAGTATATAGCATAAAGTAAGTAAGACTAGCAAGTACAGTTGGTCCAGCGACTCAAGACCGTCAAAATGTGCCACAGCAAAGTTCAAACACACTACCAGATGAAAAACATATACTCACATTATAAAGTGCAGTGCGTGGGAGCCCTCTGTAGGGTGGCAGCCCCGCAGGGAGCAATCCTGTTGCACAGTGCTGAGCATGCAATGCCAACTGCGCTCAAAGCCGCCGCTGCCGCCGTTGCGACCGCCAGCAGATGCCCGTGGGCAGAGGCATGCGAGGCCACCCCAAAAGTTGAGGACGGCGACTGAGGGGTCCATGCACACATTTATATTGATGACGAGGCGACAAGAGGTGGCGAGGCTATATCAGTCGGGGGATGCTGGTGGGTGTGGTGAAC